CTGGTAGCCGGCCCTGGAAGCCAGGGCTACTGGCTAAAACACAAAAAAAAGTTTGCAAAGTGGCGGGGAGGGGGGAAGAACCCAGAGTTTGCAGCCAGCGAGCTGCAGCCCCCAGGCGACTCTACTTCCTTCTCTGCTGCCCCCCACCCCACCCCCCTTTCTTACTGCCAGCCCCTCCCCCATCTCACCCTTGCAGGATCTCTGCATGCACAAAAAAACCCACTTCCTCTTGCAAAGCATCAGACAGTGACGGGGGGGGGGTGATACCCCCCCCACCAGCCCCAGCCTCCAGTTCCTCCCTCTGCTCTGCTGCCCTCCCGACAGGGGTTGCCCCCTGCTTCCCGGTGGCTCCCTGCTTCCCACCCACCCAGCTGGCACCTTCTGGCCTGGCCCCACCCCACCCTGCAGCTACCTGGAGGAAATGACTCAAGGCCAAGGGGGGGGAGAGTAGGTGCGGGGGGGGGGGAGATGAGGCCTAAATCTGCCCCCGGGCTCTGCAAAATGAACTGGATCCAGGGTCCAAATTCCCGGATCCTGGAGTCTTTATCTTTTTGCCCCCCTGTGAAGGCCCAGGGCTGGTTTCCCAGCTTGTCCCATCCTGGCTGAGGGGAACCCGCCACAGTGAATCTGCCAGCGTCTAGGGGCGGGAAAGTTTTTAGCTTTTTTTTTTACTGCGCTGGGGAATGAATTGGATTCCCTGGTTCTGGGGGCTGCCGCGTACCCCAGAGGCGGCTGCATCTCAGTGCCAGGGCCTGGGATCAGCTGCTGGCCGCGCCCCAGAGGTGGCTGCAACTTGGGGCCTGGGATCCCTGTGAGGGGAGTTGCCCCACCCCAGAGATGGCTGCAGCTGGCCTCTCCATCCCTGTAACAGAGTTCAAAATGGCTAACTTTGTGTGGCATGCCTCCGAATAGACCCCCCCCCCTCATTTGCACACGCCTTGCGACACCAGGATTGCCAGGATTGCGGGGAGGGGGGGGGTGTCTGCTAGCCTGGGGTCTGGGACTCAGGAGGCAAATTGAGCATTTGCTGTGTGTGCAAAAAATCCCGGGTAGCGGAGAAGAAACTTTTGCTAACTTCTCGAAAGCAAAGCTGACTTCCCCCCTCTCCCTCCCCCCTTGGTTAATAAAATGGGTGGGGGCAGGAAGCCGTCTGTCTGTATTTAATCTCTCCTTTTACTGCCACGTCTCTGCCTTCTGCCTCCGCCTGCCGCTGTGGGCCTGAATCTGTCTCCCTCCTAATCTTTCCAGATCTTTTTTTCCTTTCCTCCCCCCCTCTGCTTTGCAACAATCATTCTTTAGTTCAGCCTCGCCTCTCGCGGGGGGGCGGGGGGGGGGCGGGTCTGGTCTAAATCTTTGGCTTCCCCAGTTCTGTTTCAAAACCGAAGTCCGTTTCATGGCCTCCACTCCCAGCCCGCCTTTCTCACTCTTTGCAGAAACTTTTCTCATTTGGCTGGGAATGCAAAAGTCCTTGTTCAGTGGGGTGGCTGGACTCGTGTCGAAAACGGATCTCCCCCCTCCCCCGCTTTCTGCCTGGAAAACCACCCAGAATTCGGGGGCCCCCTGCCTGGGAGAGTATCTACGTCCTTCTCTCCTGGCCATAAAGGGGAGGGAGTCTGGTCAAACTCTCCCAGATCTCCCACATCCCAATGGTGCCTGTGATCCTCAGGTCCCCTGAGTGGCTCTGATCCTGGGGGGTGGCCCCCGCTTCCCCCCCAAGTGGCTCATTGCCACAGAAATATTCCCCCCCCCGCCCCCACTTCATGCAGTTGTGCTACTGATTCGGGGTGTGAGGCGGCCCCTGAGTTGGCAGGGTGGTGAAAAGCACTGGGCTGGAGAATACGGAGGGGCGGACACTTCCCCTCCCTTCCCTGCCCATTACCCCCCAGTCTCTGCCCCCACCCCCGAGGTTGGGCCAGGGACCTGCTGCTCATGTGTTGGGACCCCTCTGCACCCCCCCCTTTTCCCCAGTGTCTGCGGAACTTTGTGCTGGGGGGGCGCTCGGCAGGGCCCCAGCTGGCTGGATTTTGGCACGTGGCTGGCCCCGGGTGCAGGGGGGTGTGGTGCTGGTCTCATATCCTGGCCGGGGCTGTTAAAGGTTGGGCTGGGGTTTGCCAAAGCCCATAACATCCATGGGGGGAACCCCCCCACAAAATCCTGTTTCCTCCCGAACTCCTGGGTTCTCTCCCTGTCTCTGGCAGGCCAGTGGGGGCTGGTGGGTCAGAGCAGGGGGGGGCTGGGACCCAGGACTCCTCTGGCTCTGGGAGAAGAGTGGATTGTGCTCTGGACCCTCCCCCAGTTTGCAAGGTGGGGCTGCCCCCCATATCTATTCTCAGGGGTGATGGCCATCCAAGGAGCCCCCCTATTCGTAAGCTCACAAACCCCCTCCCCAAACTCCACCTGGTCCCTCCCCGTGGGGGTGGGGTCTCTCTGCCCTGGTCTTAGGGGCAGAGGTTGGGGGAGGAAGAGGTTTAAAACCTCAAAACCCCCATTGCAGGGTTGTCAGTTTCCTATGGAACCTGATGGGGGAGGGGGGTGGGGTGCAGACCGGGGTGGGGGGGTTGGGTTGGGTGGCTGATAGAGGAAATAAACCAAGAATGTGCAAGTCCATGTCCTGTCCCATCCCCCGAAGATAAGGATCTTCGTGCGGGGTGGGGACACCTAGATTTCTGGAGGGGGGGGGGCTGGGGGGGCGGTGTCTGCTGAGACAGGAAGCTCTTAGAAGGGGAAGTTGGGGAAGGGGGGGGATAAGACCACTCAGTCCACCTGCCCCCTAGAGGAAGAGGGTGAAATTGGGGGTCCATTTCGCTCCCCCATCCTGCCCCCACAACAAACTGGGTGAGGAGGGGAGACACCCCCCACCCTCCCCCCATTCAGCTGCCTATGGCCAGACTCTGCAGGGGGCAGGAGTCTGGGCGTGACTGGGGGTGGGAGGAGGATTTGGTCTCCCCCCCGCCCCCCAGGCTGCAGAGAGAGAGAGATTGGGGGTGGGGGGGTGAATCCAGGACCCTTAATGCCCCTTTACGACCAGTGTGGATCCAGACTCTGCCCCCAAAGGGGGCCAATGCCCCCGCCCCGGGCATGGCTGGATTGCACCCAGATGGAGGGGTGGGGGGCAGGAGTCTCCTGGCGGAGAATAGAAGGGGGACTTGTTCAATTGGACAGCTGCTCTGGGTCCCGCTGTTTCTCCCCCCACCCCATGGAAAGCAGCTGCCTGGGGGCTCCTGGGTTCTCTCCCCAGCTCTGGGAGGGGTCTGGGAGCCAGGACCCCTGGGTTCTCTCCCCAGTGCCAGAAGAGGTGGGGGGCAGGGCTCCCTGAGCCTGTCCAGTGTGACCCCTGACCTCTGCCCCCCTCCCCAGCCGGCAGAGGTGAACACGCTGATCTCCAAGGACCGTAGCGGCATCTTCATCAACGGGGTGACGCTGGGGGGCATGAAGTGCTCGGTGCTCCGGGACAACCTGTTCATCGAGGGGGAGTACACCATGGACCTGCGGACCAAGACCACGGGCGAGACCCCCACCTACAACATTGCAGTCTGCATGACCAACAAGGGTGAGTGCCGGACGCCTGGGTCCTCTCCCTTCCCCCGGCGGACCCCCAGTGACCCAGCTGGGGTCTGCTGGCTGGGAATGGGAGCCAGGACTCCTGGGTTCTCTCCCTGGCGCTGGGAGGGGAATGGGGTCCAGCCAGCCTCCCCATCTCTTGCAGCTGGGGCTGCCTGTCGGGCCCTCGCTTCCCCACTCCCCACCCCAAAGCCAGCGGGGCGTTCCCTCCCAGCAGCTGTTGCCTGACCAGCCTGAGGCCTGACCCCTTTCCCTGCAGCGGGGCCCACAACAGCTGGCCCTGGATCCAGCTGCTTCAGCCCCACATCGCCCAGGCTTCATGAACAGGCTTCATGAACATAATGGGCCAGGCTTCATGAACAGCTGCAAGGGGGCGGGAGAGAGCAGGACTCCTGGGTTCTCTCCCCGGCTTGGGGAGGGGAGCGGGGGCTGGTGGGTTGGAGCAGGGGGCTGGGAGCCAGGACTCCTGGGTTCTCTCCCCGGCTCTGGGAGGGGAGCGGGGTCTGGTGGGTTAGGGCGGGCGGGCTGGGAGCCAGGACTCCTGGGTTCTCTCCCCGGCTCTGGGAGGGGAGCGGGGTCTGGTGGGTTAGGGCGGGCGGGCTGGGAGCCAGGACTCCTGGGTTCTCTCCCCGGCTCTGGGAGGGGAGCGGGGTCTGGTGGGTTAGAGCAGGGCCAGGGGGCTGGGAGCCAGGACTCCTGGGTTCTCTCCCCGGCTCTGGGAGGGGAGCGGGGTCTGGTGGGTTAGGGCGGGCGGGCTGGGAGCCCGGACGCCTGGGTTCTCTCCCCGGCTCTGGGAGGGGAGCGGGGTCTGGTGGGTTAGGGCGGGCGGGCTGGGAGCCAGGACTCCTGGGTTCTCTCCCCGGCTCTGGGAGGGGAGCGGGGTCTGGTGGGTTAGGGCGGGCGGGCTGGGAGCCAGGACTCCTGGGTTCTCTCCCCGGCTTTGGGAGGGGAGTGGGGTCTGGTGGGTTAGGGCGGGCGGGCTGGGAGCCAGGACTCCTGGGTTTCCTGTAGGTGCTGGGGTAGGGGTTACCTGACTGGATCAGACCCCACGGGGCCATTGTCCTCTTCCGTCCCTGGCCTGTGATGGTGGGGAGGGGGCAGAGGGTAGTTGGGGGTGGCAGCCTGGCCCCTCACCCCTCTTTCCTCCCCCCGCAGCGATAGTGCTGGCCATGGGCAAGGAGGGCATTCACGGCGGCTGCGTGAACAAGAAATGCTTCGACATGGCCCAACACTTGAGAAACTTGCAGTATTGACGCCGGCCTGGCACTCCGCTGCGCTACTACTGATGCCCACCCTGGCGGGGACCGCCGAGCCCCCGCCCGCCCCGGGCCTGGAGCACCCCCCACTCCTCGCTTTCGGCTCTCCACTCCGGCCCGCCTCTCTCCCCGCCGCCTTTTCTATCACAAAAATCCTCTTCCTTGCTGCCAAATTGTTTCTGGTTGTTTAAAAAAAAAAAAACAAAAAAAGCCAGTTGTAGGTTTTTTTTGTGGGGGAAGGGGGGGTTTAAGAGGGGGGGAAAACTATATTGGAACAAGAAATAAAAAGGAAATTTGAATAATTCTCAAGGTGTATCTGTGTCTAGTGTCTGCTCTGGGGGCACTCAGGACTCCTGGGTTCTCTCCCCGGCTCTGGGAGGGGAGTGGGGGCTGGTGGGTGAGAGCAGGGGGCGCTGGGAGCCAGGACTCCTGGGTTCTCCCCCCAGCTTGGGAAGGGGAGTAGGGGCTGGTGGGTTAGAGTGGGGGGGGGGGGGGGGGGCTGGGTGCTAGGACTCCTGGGTTCTCTCCCTGGCTCTGGGAGGGCAGTGGGGGCTGGTGGGTCAGAGCAGGGGGGGCTGGGTGCCAGGACTCCTGGGTTCTCTCCCTGGCTCTGGGAGGGCAGTGGGGGCTGGTGGGTCAGAGCAGGGGGGGCTGGGTGCCAGGACTCCTGGGTTCTCTCCCTGGCTCTGGGAGGGCAGTGGGGGCTGGTGGGTTAGAGCAGGGGGGGCTGGGTGCCAGGACTCCTGGGTTCTCTCCCTGGCTAGGGAAGGGCTTGCGGAGTCAGAGTTCAGCTGGGGGAGGGGGTGCAGCCTGGGAGATTCCTGCCCTTGGATTCTTGCCCCTCCCCCCATGCTCCACCCCCCCCAGCTGGCAGGAGAGAGGTGCACAGTCCTGCACCCAGCCTGAGTCATGGTGCAGGGAGGGGTGTGAACAGCTGATTGGGAGGGGCCAGGGATCCTGCCTTGTGGGGGGAGGGGGGCGACTCCCACCTCTGCTGCTGTCCATTGAGGTGGGGCGGTCTGGGCCCCAGGCTCTGCCCCATTGCAGTGGGGCACCCAGGGCTGGCTTCCTGCCCATCCCTGCAGCCAGGTCTTCCCCTGGCTGTGGCCTAGGGGTTGGGCGCTGGGCTGTGGAGGGAGGGGAGGGTCAGGATGCCTGGGTTCTATTCCTGGTCCTTGCACACAGAGGGGAAGGCCCGGGGCCGGTTTCCCCCTCCCAGCTGTCTACGGTGCTTGAGGCAGGGGGGTCTGCGCAGCCCCAGTTGTGGAAGGTTGGCAGGGGGGCTGGGCTGGGCCTGGCCTGGGGGGGAGCCCCCAGCTGAGCGGCTCCAGACCTTCCTGGACCGAAGAACCTCGTTGCTGCCAATGAAGTCGTCTTAAACACCCTGCCCTGTGCCCGCTGCCCGTGAGCGAGCCACCCAGGAGCGTGTGCCTGACCCACATCCAGTTGAGTCCTTCTCCCCGCCCCGCCCTCATCCGCTGGGGCTGGCTCCGAAACCGTGCCCCCCCCCAGTCGCAGCCCCTCTGGACTCCGGCACTGCGGGACGAAAGGGGGCTCCATACAGTGTGCTGGGGGGAGGGGGGGCGATGGTGTGTGCAGCGTGTCTCCCCCTTGCACCCAGCCCTGCCCAGTGCACGTGACCCCAAAGAGTCACCAGTCAATACAGGGCAAGTATCTTTTATTCGAAGAGGTGCCCTGACCTGCCAGGCGTGCCCTGGGTGCATGGCCGGGGTGCCTGGCGTGACCCACCCCACAATTGGTTAAAAAAAGCAGCCAAGGAATGAGCTCCAGTAAGCCCCCCTGGGGGTTATGGGTCATAGTGTGAAGGGAACAGGCCCCAGGGGCCGGGGCAGGGACAGACAGACAAGGTGTTAATGGCCCATAAGACCCCCTGGGGGGCTAAAAGCACAAACAGGCACCCCCCCCATTTTGGTCCAGGACTCTGAGGAGTGAAGGTGGGGGGGAACCATGCTGCACCCCTAGTTAAGTCACACCTGCAAATCAAAAGCAGGAGCTGGGGTCGGGCTGGCCCCTGGGGCTAAGAAGGAAGGGCTGAAATGGCTCTCAGGTTAAAGGGGGGTGTGGCAGAGACAGGGGAGCCCTGCAGGAGGGGGGCCCATGACGCTAAAGGAAAGCAGTCCCTGCCCCCTGCTAGCCTCCTAATGGGCGGAAGGGGGGGTAGCCACTGGGGGCAAGGACAGGTCTGGCTTTAGTCCACCCTGCCTGGGGGCTTCAACAGGACAGACTCGGGCTGAGCCAGACAGATGGGCTATACCCCATGGAATTATAGGTGGCCCCCCCCCCCGGCATATGGTAGCCAAAGCTTCCCACTGCTCCCAGGGTACAGCCACATTCTTCTAGCCTGGAGTGGGGGCCAGCCGTGGGGGGCCAGCGGGGTCTCTAGCCCCCCTCCTCCCTGCTCTCCGCCCTAGAAAGAGTGGGCCTGCCCCTGCGTCCTGCTGCGGGACCATGAACTGGGGCAAGGGGGCAGTGGCGGCTGGCCAAAGCCCCCTCTCCCTAATCCCAACAGCTGGTGCGAAGTGGGGCGGGTGCCCCCAGGGGGAGGCCAGGAGCAGGGCCCAGGCGCAGGCAGGAATGTCACCCGGCCACAGTGTTTACACCCAGCCGGCTGCTGAGCCCCGGAGGGGGGAAGGGTGGCTGGTTTCTTCAGGGCTGTGTGCTTCCCCCTCCCCGCCCCCGCTGAGAACCCAGGAGTCCTGGCTTCCGCTCCCACCCCCACTGCACCTGCTCTAACCCACCAGCCCCCACTCCCCTCTGGGACAGGGGAGAGAATCCATCTCCCCCCATGCCCCTCATACCCCGAGCTGTGCAAAGCCCCCCCTCCGTCCTGCAAAGCCCTGACACCCCGTGTCCCACAGCCTTGGCACGTAATGGATCCCCCGGGGCGGGGCTGCAGGTCCGAAGGGAAGCTGGGGGTCACCCCGGTCCCACAGGAAGGGGGTCCAAGCCTGGATCCCTGGCGGGGGCCCCTGTTTTGTGCACAGTTTAAAATACAAAGAAAGATTGGGGGTAGAGGCCCCCTGGGGAGTCCATCCAGGGGGTCAGACAAGGATGCTGTCCCCCAGGCCCTCAGGGCGCTGCCCCTGGGGGGTGGCCAGGGGCCCCTCCTCAGAGCCTTCCTGGCCGGAGGGCGGGCCCTGCGCCTCGGCCATGCTGCCGAAGGAGGGGGTGCTGGCGGCGGAGGAGGGGCCCAGCAGTGGGGTTCGCTCCGAGTGGGGCTCCTCCTCCTCGCCCCGCTGGTGGCCCTCGCCCTCCGAGTCTGAGTCCTCGGCCGTCCGCAGCACTCGCTGCTTGCACACCGGGCAGGTCTTCTTGGTCTGCGTCAGCCAGGGGTCCACGCACCGGCAGTGATAGGCTGGGGGAGGGGGACGGCAGTTACACCCCGCCACCAGGAGTGGAACCCAGGCGTCCTGGCTCCCAGCCCCTCCCTGCTCTAAACCCCCAGCCCCCCTCCCCTCCCAGAGCCGGAGGGAGAACCCAGGCGTCCTCACCATGGGCACAGGGCAGGATCCGCAGCCGGTCTCCCTCCTCGTACTCATCCAGACAGATGGCGCAGACGTCATACTCGTCCCCTGGCAGAGAGACGGGAGGGAGCCGTTAGCCCTGACATACGGGGGAAACTGAGGCACAGGGAGGGGGTGGGACCAGGGCAAGCTCATACAGTGAGAGGATAACAGCCCTGCATCCCAGAGCCAGAGAGAGAACCCGGGAGTCCTGGCTCCCAGCCCCCTCTGCTCCGACCCACCAGGCCCCGCTCCTCTCCCCAAGCTGGGGAGAGAACCCAGGAGTCCTGGGGACAGGTCTAGAATTGTGCTTAGTCTGTTGAGACTTAGGAGCAATGAAACACACATGGCAACGTCTCCCTAGGGACATGTATTCACAGGAAGGTGTCTGAGGCCAAAATCCTCCTTTCCACCCACATCCCTGCCCCAGAGGTGGCCGCGTCTCAGCGCCGGGCGAGGGGTCCCTGTGTCACCAGCCGCCCTGCCCCAGAGGTGGCCGCGTCTCAGCGCCGGGTGAGGGGTCCCTGTGTAACCCGCTGTCCTGCCCCAGAGGTGGCCGCATCTCAGCGCTGGGCGAGGGGTCCCTGTGGAACCTGCTGCACCGCCCCAGAGGTGGCCGCATCTCAGCGCTGGATGAGGGGTCCCTGTGTCACCAGCCGCCCCGCCCCAGAGGTGGCTGCATCTCAGGGCCAGGCGAGGGGTCCCCATGTCACCCGCTGCCCTGCCCCAGAGGTGGCCGCATCTCAGCGCCGGGCGAGGGGTCCCTTTGTCACTCTCCGCCCCGCCCCAGAGGTGGCCGTGTCTCAGCGCCGGGCGAGGGGTCCCTGTGTCACCTGCCGCCCCGCCCCAGAGGTGGCCGCATCTCAGCGCCGGGCAAGGGGGTCCCTGTGTCACCAGCCGCCCCGCCCCAGAGGTGGCTGCATCTCAGGGCCAGGCGAGGGGTCCCCATGTCACCCGCTGCACCGCCCCAGAGGTGGCTGCGTCTCAGCGCCGGGTGAGGGGTCCCTGTGTAACCCGCTGCCCTGCCCCAGAGGTGGCCGCATCTCAGCACTGGGTGAGGGGTCCCTGTGTAACCCGCCGCCCCGCCCCAGAGGTGGCTGCATCTCAGGGCCAGGCGAGGGGTCCCCATGTCACCCGCTGCACCGCCCCAGAGGTGGCTGCGTCTCAGCGCCGGGTGAGGGGTCCCTGTGTAACCCGCTGCCCTGCCCCAGAGGTGGCCGCATCTCAGCACTGGGTGAGGGGTCCCTGTGTAACCCGCCGCCCCGCCCCAGAGGTGGCTGCATCTCAGGGCCAGGCGAGGGGTCCCCATGTCACCCGCTGCACCGCCCCAGAGGTGGCTGCGTCTCAGCGCCGGGTGAGGGGTCCCTGTGTAACCCGCTGCCCTGCCCCAGAGGTGGCCGCATCTCAGCACTGGGTGAGGGGTCCCTGTGTAACCCGCCGCCCCGCCCCAGAGGTGGCCGCATCTCAGCACTGGGTGAGGGGTCCCTGTGTATCCCGCCGGCCCGCCCCAGAGGTGGCTGCATTGGATGACAGAGGCCTGGGACCCGAGGCCCATTTCAGCTCCAGGGCTCGAGCGTCTCAGCGAAAACAGGAAGCTCCGGCTCCCGCCCCAGCGCCTACCCGGGAGGGGAAGCGGTCAGAAGGGGCTGCGGAGTAAACCCAGCCGCTCCGGCTCAAGCCCTTATAAGGTAAATGCGAGCGCTCCCCTGGCGCTTCCTCCCCTGGCGCTTACTCAACCCGAGAGCACCCCGCTCAGCCGCCCCGCCAGGCGGTGGAACGGCTGCAACAGCTCCCTGGGAAGCAGGACGCCTGGGTTCTGCTGACAGCTTGAGGGGGAGGGGGAGACTGAGGGCTAGAACCTGGGAGCCAGGACTCCTCCGTTCTCTCACCAGTTCTGGGAGGGATCTGGGGGCTGGGGGCTAGAAGGGAGGGGGCTGAGAGCCAGGAGGTATTTTTTGCATCCCTTCCCCCTTCTAATGGCAGAAATAGAACCCAGGAATCCTGTCTCCCAGCTCCCCCTACTCTAACCCACCAGGCCCCACTCTCCTCCTACAGCCAGGGAGAGAAGCCAGGTGTCCTGGCTCCCAGCCCCTCCCTAGTCTAACCCGCCAGGCCCCACTCCCCTCCCAGAGCGGGGAGAGAACCCAGGAGTCCTGGCTCCCAGCCTCCCCTGCTCTGACCCACCAGCCCCCACTCCCCTCCCAGAGCCAGGAGAGAACCCAGGAGTCCTGGCTCCCAGCTCCCCCTACTCTAACCCTGGAGGCTGGGCAAGGGCTGGCAGCAGCAGGAAGCCAGAGCCACAAGCATCAGCCAGGGAAGCCCCTGCCCCATTCCCCCCACAACAGGGAACCCGCAGCAGCTGGATCTGGAGGACAGAGATCCAAGACTTGGGGGGGCTGGCGAGGAAACCTGCCCCTGACTCCTGCCTGCCCAGGGCCCCCCAGAGACTGTGGGGAGCTCAATTCATGGGGGACTGGGGGCTCCCACAGCCCAGGGAGGGGGTGGGTGTCTCAGCATCGGGGACTGGAGCCAGCAGGGCGGGCTGACCCCAGAGTGTCCCCCCGTCCCCCCCCGGCCTGCCAGCCTGGGGAAACATTTCACAGCCGTGAGGTGACAAGTCCTCAGGTCACTGCGGTTAGCGCCCCCCGGCTCCAGAGCTGGGACAGGGCTGAACCGGCTGCTGCAGCGGGGGGAGAGAACCCAGGCGTCCTGGCTCCCAGCCCCCCCTGCTCTAACCCCCAGCCCCCACTCCCCTTCCAGAGCCGGGGAGAGAACCCAGGCGTCCTGGCTCCCAGAGTGTGAGCCTGCAGTGAGCATGCAAGGAATCCCAGCCTGGTTTTGACACAGGGGAAAAGCGGGTGCCTCGGGGGTCCCCCAAAACACGCAGTAGATATGTGAGCCCAGAGGCTGCAAAGGGGGCTGGGAGCTGAGGCGGGGGCGTACTCGGGGGTGGGGGAAACGCTCAGAGCTGGTCTCACACCCTCGGTCACAGCCGCTCGCTCCCCGGCCTGACGCCTCCCCGCTTGGGGTTTGGCTGCCGGAAGCCGGACACAGGGTGATTGACCCCCCCACCTGCCTCGCACAGACACGGGGACTTTCCAGCGTCCCGTGCTGGGGCTCAGACAGGCACCCCACATCTATGGAGGAACCCACAGCCCCCAGCTTCCCCTCTCCTGCACCCACAAGGGGGCACCCTTAGACCCCTCCCGGCTGCCTCCCAGCTGGAGGGATTGTTCCTTTGATCTGCCCCCTCCCCAGAGTGTGAGGGGACGGGATCTGATGGCCGGCCGGCCCCGCCTTGGGATCCAAAAGGGGCTGCGGAAGGACAGACGGCCGTGGGGCAGGGGGCCCCCCTGCTGGGGAGAGGCTGTACTGCAGCCTGGATGGGTGAGGGGCAGTTTTGGGCTGGGCTGGGGGACGTCCCAGCATGCAGTGCTCTGCCCCCACTGCATGCTGGGAAGGGCCCTGCCCTGCCACCTGAGAGCCCATCCCTGGGGTGGGGGTGCCAGGATAAAGAGGGCTCAGGGCCAGCCCAAGACCCCCCCATGCTGCGGCCACCTCTAGGGACCGGCTTAAGCCTCCTGCTGGGGCATTGGGGGCCCTGCCCGCCGGGGAGAGGCCCCCCCCGCACACAGCACCCCCTAGCGCCGCCCTGGTGGCCAGTTACCTTTCTGATACTTGTGGGCGGGGATTTTCCTCAGCTGGTCCTTCGAGAGCCGGTGACGCCGCAGCCTCTTCCGGTGCTGAACACAGCGAACGATCTGCCAGCCAGACCGGGGGGGTGAGGGGGTTCCAAGACTTCCCAGCCCCCCATCTAACCCCCCAGCCCCCACTCCCCTCCCAGAGAGGGGAGAGAACCCAGGAGTCCTGGCTCCCGGCCCCCCCTGCTCTGACCACTAGCCCTCACTCCCCTCCCAGAGCCAGGGAGAGAACCCAGGAGTCCTGGCTCCCGGCCCCCGCTCCCCTCCCAGAGCCGGGGAGGGAACCCAGGAGTCCTGGCTCCCGGCCCCCCTGCTCTAACCCACTGGCCCCCGCTCCCCTCCCAGAGAGGGGAGAGAACCCAGGAGTCCTGGCTCCCAGCCCCCCGGCTCTAACCACCAGCCCCCGCTCCCCTCCCAGAGCTGGGGAGAGAACCCAGGAGTCCTGGCTCCCAGCCCCCCGGCTCTAACCACCAGCCCCCGCTCCCCTCCCAGGGCCGGGGAGAGAACCCAGGAGTCCTGGCTCTCCCGCCCCTTGCCCCGCACAGTGTGGTGGGACGTCACTCACCAGGATGGTGCACATCACAGCAATGATGATGCCGACCACGCCGGTGAAGGGGATGAGGTAATAGCCCAGCGGGAAAATGTACTCAGGGATCAGGATAATGTGTGCGCTGGGGGACCGGAGACAGTGGGGTCAGTCAGGGTGGAGATGCTGGCCACTAGCCCGCACTCTGCCTCCAGACCAGAACCCAGGCGTCCTGGCTCCCACCCCCAACTCTAACCCACCAGCCCCCACTGCCCTCCCAGAGCCAGGGAGAGAACCCAGGCGTCCCGGCTCCCAGCTCTAACCCACCAGCCCCCACTGCCCTCCCAGAGCCAGGGAGAGAACCCAGGCGTCCCGGCTCCCAGCCCCCAGCTCTAACCCACCAGCCCCCACTGCCCTCCCAGAGCCAGGGAGAGAACCCAGGAGTCCTGGCTCCCAGCCCCCCCTGCTCTAACCCCCCCAGACCCCACTCCCCTCCCTACTGATGGAGCCCCTGGGGGGCACCCAGGGAAAGCACAGGAAGCCACGCCCATCTGTCCCACATGCACTCCGAGCGGGGGGCCTGGCCCCCGCTGGGATTCCTCCAGGCTCGGAGGCTGCGGTGGGGACAGGAGGAAGATGGGGGTCTCCCATGGCTCACGGCGTTTCTCTGCAGGGGGCCCAGGCCACACAGCGCCCCCCCCCGCAGGCGGGCAGGTGCCTACCCCTTCTCATAGCTGAACTTGGAGCGCAGGTAGTCGGAGGCTGTCTCCCCCACGAAGACCGACGGGATAGCAATTTGCTCCCGAATCCTCTCTGTGGGGCAGAGAGATGGCAGAGGGGCTCAGCCAGGCCCACAGAGAACTTCTTGACCCACACCCGGGGGACGTTAACCCCTCAGACAGTGGGTTCGCTCTGCCCAGAGCTCCCCTGGGGGGGAGGTGGGCGGCGTGGGGACCCCAGCAGCAGGGGAGGTGGACCGGGCGGATCCTGGCAGTGGGGGGAGCCAATTGGGGGCGGAGAGCGGGAGTCTCACTCCTGCACCCCCGCTGCTAGGAGTTGCCACAATCCAGCCTGCACATGGGGGGCGGAGCGCCTCCCTGGGGAGCCCTGAGAGTAACCCCACGCATGCCAGAACTTGGGGGCGGAGCCTAGGGAAAGCCCCTCCCCTGCCCCACTCACCATCATTCCAGGCCATGTTGAGCAGTTTGTCGGAGCCCGTGTTATGCACCACGGCGGCGTCGAACCCGGCCTGCTGTGCGTGCAACACCTAGAGTGGGGTGGGGGGGACAGGTCAGGGGGGGCAGCGCCCTCCCGCAGCCAGGGAGAGAACCCAGGAGTCCTGGCTCCTGGCCCCCCCACCCTAACCCCCCAGCCCCAGTCCCCTCCCAGAGCTGGGGGAGAACCCAGGAGTCCTGAGCTCAGTGGATGTGTGAGAAGGGCTATCAGACCTCGTGGTTCAGGGCACAACCTGGGTGGGAGGTCAGGACAGGATCTGTCTGGAGGTCCTGTCTTTGGGCTGGGCTCCCCCACGGCTGCCCCCCAGCTCCCCGTCACTGCCCCCCGAGACCTCCCCCACCTTGATGTCGAAGTTGCATTCATATCTGCGAATGAGGGCGATGAACCGGGTGGCGTTGCTGGAGTCCGGGGGCCCCTCGATGGGCTGACAGGCGTTGCTGGGCTTGGCCTCCACCAGATAGCCCTGGAGCAAAGCAGGACATCAGAGTCAGTACCCCACAGGCCTGCAGCCAGGCAGGATAAACCAAGAAGAGAACCCAGGAGTCCTGGCTCCCAGCCCCCCTGCTTTGACCCACCAGCCCCCACTCTCCTCCCAGAGCCAGGGGGAGAACCCAGGAGTCATAAAAAAGAGGCTTACAAGAAGTGGAAGGTTGGACATATGACCAGGGAAGAGTATAAAAATATTGCTCGGGCATGTAGGAATGATATCAGGAGGGCCAAATCGCACCTGGAGCTGCAGCTAGCCAGAGATGTCAAGAGTAACAAGAAGGGTTTCTTCAGGTATGTTGGCAACAAGAAGAAAGCCAAGGAAAGTGTGGGCCCCTTACTGAATGAGGGAGGCAACCTAGTGACAGAGGATGTGGAAAAAGCTAATGTACTCAATGCTTTTTTTGCCTCTGTTTTCACTAACAAGGTCAGCTCCCAGACTGCTGCGCTGGGCATCGCAAAATGGGGAATAGATGGCCAGCCCTCTGTGGAGATAGAGGTGGTTAGGGACTATTTAGAAAAGCTGGACGTGCACAAGTCCATGGGGCCGGACGAGTTGCATCCGAGAGTGCTGAAGGAACTGGCGGCTGTGATTGCAGAGCCATTGGCCATTATCTTTGAAAACTCGTGGCGAACGGGGGAAGTCCCGGATGACTGGAAAAAGGCTAATGTAGTGCCCATCTTTAAAAAAGGGAAGAAGGAGGATCCTGGGAACTACAGGCCAGTCAGCCTCACCTCAGTCCCTGGAAAAATCATGGAGCAGGTCCTCAAAGAATCAATCCTGAAGCACTTGCATGAGAGGAAAGTGATCAGGAACAGCCAGCATGGATTCACCAAGGGAAGGTCATGCCTGACTAATCTAATCGCCTTTTATGATGAGATTACTGGTTCTGTGGATGAAGGGAAAGCAGTGGATGTATTGTTTCTTGACTTTAGCAAAGCTTTTGACACGGTCTCCCACAGTATTCTTGTCAGCAAGTTAAAGAAGTATGTGCTGGATGAATGCACTGTAAGGTGGGTAGAAAGCTGGCTAGATTGTCGGGCTCAACGGGTAGTTATCAATGGTTCCATGTCTAGTTGGCAGCCGGTATCAAGTGGAGTGCCCCAAGGGTCGGTCCTGGGGCCGGTTTTGTTCAGTACCTTCATTAATGATCTGGAGGATGGTGTGGATTGCACCCTCAGCAAGTTTGCAGGTGACACTAAACTGGGAGGAGTGGTAGATACGCTGGAGGGTAGGGATAGGATACAGAGGGACCTAGACAAATTGGAGGATTGGGCCAAAAGAAATCTGATGAGGTTCAACAAGGACAAGTGCAGAGTCCTGCACTTAGGACGGAAGAATCCCATGCACCGCTACAGACTAGGGACCGAATGGCTCGGCAGCAGTTCTGCGGAAAAGGACCTAGGGGTGACAGTGGACGAGAAGCTGGATATGAGTCAGCAGTGTGCCCTTGTTGCCAAGAAGGCCAATGGCATTTTGGGATGTATATGTAGGGACATTGCCAGCAGACCGAGGGACGTGATCGTTCCCCTCTATTCGACATTGGTGAGGCCTCATCTGGAGTACTGTGTCCAGTTTTGGGCCCCACACTTCAAGAAGGATGTGGATAAATTGGAGAGAGTCCAGCGAAGGGCAACAAAAATGATTAGGGGTCTGGAACACATGACTTATGAGGAGAGGCTGAGGGAACTGGGATTGTTTAGCCTGCAGAAGAGAAGAATGAGGGGGGATTTGATAGCTGCTTTCAACTACCTGAAAGGGGGTTCCAAAGAGGATGGCTCTAGACTGTTCTCAATGGTAGCAGATGACAGAACGAGGAGTAATGGTCTCAAGCTGCAGTGGGGGAGGTTTAGGTTGGATATTAGGAAAAACTTTTTCACTAGGAGGGTGGTGAAACACTGGAATGCGTTACCTAGGGAGGTGGTAGAATCTCCTTCCTTAGAGGTTTTTAAGGTCAGGCTTGACAAAGCCCTGGCTGGGATGATTTAACTGGGAATTGGTCCTGCTTCGAGCAGGGGGTTGGACTAGATGACCTTCTAGGGTCCCTTCCAACCCTTATATTCTATGATTCTATGAGTCCTGGCTCTCAGGGCCCCACCCCGTCTCTAACCCACTGGACCCCACTCCCCCCCCCAGAGCCGGGGAGAGAACCCAGGCATCCTGGAGCCCCCCTGCTCTAACTCACCAGTCCCCACTCCTCTCCCAGAGCCGGGCAGAGAACCCAGGAGTCCTGGCTCTCAGGCCCTCCCCTGCTCTAACCCACTGGACCCCACTCCCCTCCCAGAGCTGGGGAGAGGCTCCAGGCATCCTGGAGCCCCCCTGCTCTGACCACCCGACCGCTGGATCTTGCGGCTACGCACCACGAGTCCTTCCCTGGGCAGCAGGGCCCCGAAGTGGGCGGGCAGGTCTGAGAAGTCCATGCTGGCATTGTGATCCCTCACCTGTCGGGGCAGGGAGAAGGATCAGGCTGGCATGAGAGAGGCTCCGGTTCCCCCCCAATCTGAGCACTCCCTGGGTCCCTGCCCCCACACTCTCCCCCCTCCCCCTGGCCCTTGGCCACTCACCGCGTGGATGTAGGCGTCTGCCGGGGGCAGCAGCAGGCAGGTGCGGAGCAGTAGGGCCACGACGGGGCTGGGGAAGGCACGCTCGGGCCACATCCTGGCGGCCGGCGGAGCCCTGCAAGGGGGAGAAGCGGGAGCCTGGCGCGGGAGAGCCGGCACGCACCCCCCTGTCAGAGACCGTCCCTGCCCCAAAGACCTTCCACAACACGGGCCGCGAGGGGAAACTGAGGCCAGAGGGGCAGGGTGGCCAGGCCCGGTCAGGCCCCGTTGGAGTCTCGGATCTGCCCCCCCACATCGCGTCCCCGGAGGGCAGCCGCCGGATCCGCAGCAGCCTGTTTGCCCGGAAAGACGGCCCCGGGGCTCGCAGCCGGGACAAAGGGCCCATTGAGCGCCCACGAGGCCGCGCTGTGGCAGGCAGACGTGAGGCGGGCACTGGCAGTGAGCCCCTGATAGCAGCGAGGTAAGCGGGGGCCCTGATCCCAGCTGGGGTCAATGGACCGTCGCTCCTCCTCTAACCCACTAGATCCCACTCCCCTCCGGGACAGAACCCAGGCATCCTGGCTCCCACCCCCCCCTGCTCTAACCCACCAGCCCCCTCTCGCCTCCCAGAGCTGGGGAGAGAACCCAGGAGCCCTGGCTCCCAGCCCCCTCTAACCGCTAAACACCACTCCTTCTTGATGAATGGCACAACGCGGGGGCCCCGATCTCGGCTGGAAGGTGCGGTCAGCGCAGGGCCCGGCCCCCCAGGGGCCCTGCACTCAGCTGGAGGGAGGTGCGGGGAGCCCTGCCTGAACAGGTCTGGGCGTGGACCGGAGGCTGACGCTCTTGGTTTCCTGGCCCAGGCTGGGAGGCGCTTGGCTCAGCCCAGCTGCGGGCGCAGCGGCCTGGCTGCCAGGAGCCTCCCCGTGCCAGCGGCACTGAACCAAGGAGCAAAGTTCAGGGGCGCTGACGGGTTTATGGCCAAGAGCGGGAACGAAGAGCTGGCTGGGAAGTGGGCAGGGCCAGGACTGGGGGGGAATTTCCCAGCTGGCACCTGGGTGACATGAGTTGGGAGGGTCTCAGTCCAGTTCTAAGATTGGGGACTGCAGCGAGATTGGGGTCCCCCAGGCGGTCGGGCATCGGAGGCACATGGGGCTGTCCCTACTCTGAAAGCTTACAAGCTAACTAAGCGAGACGGACAATGGGTAGGGAAGGGAAACCGAGGCACGGAGGTGCTGGGACTTGCCTAGCAGGTCAGTGGCCGAGCTGGGAACAGAATCTGGGCGTCCCGAGGCTCAGGCCGTGCCCGCTAGCCCATGCTGCCAGTCCGAGGGCTGAAGGGGTCACGCAAACTGAGCCCCTTTTCCCTACGCTAGGGCAGGAGTATGAGGGGAGCTGTGTGTGTGGGGAGCCATGGGACCAGGGAGCTGCTTCAGGACTGCCCTCAATCAGTGCTGAGATGCAGCCACCTCTGGGGCGGGGCGGGGCGGCAGGTGACACAGGGACCCCTTGGCCGGCGCTGAGATGCAGCCACCTCTGGGGCAGGGCGGCGGGTGACACAGGGACCCCTCGCCCGGCATGCAGCCACCTCTGGGGCAGGGCGGCGGGTGACACGGGGACCCCTCGCCCGGCGCTGAGATGCGGCCACCTCTGGGGCAGGGGGGCGGGTAACACAGGGACCCCTCGCCCGGCGCTGAGATGCAGCCACCTCTGGGGCAGGGCGGCGGGTGACACGGGGACCCCTTGCCCGGCGCTGAGATGCAGCCACCTCTGGGGCGGGGCGGCGGGTGACACAGGGACCCCTCGCCCGGCATGCAGCCACCTCTGGGGCAGGGCGGCAGGTGACACAGGGACCCCTCGCCCGGCATGCAGCCACCTCTGGGGCAGGGCGGCGGGTGACACGGGGACCCCTCGCCCGGCGCTGAGATGCGGCCACCTCTGGGGCAGGGGGGCGGGTAACACAGGGACCCCTCGCCCGGCGCTGAGATGCAGCCACCTCTGGGGCAGGGCGGCGGGTGACACGGGGACCCCTTGCCCGGCGCTGAGATGCAGCCACCTCTGGGGCGGGGCGGCGGGTGACACGGGGACCCCTTGCCCGGCGCTGAGATGCAGCCACCTCTGGGGCAGGGCGGCGGGTGACACGGGGCGCTGAGATGCACCCTTGGCATTACCCCCCTGTCCTGGCTGGACCGAGTATGGTCCCCTCTGTCTGAGCCCCCAGTCCCCACAGGACCCCCTCCCCAAACGGGAGATCCCAAAACCCTGCAGCACCCCCTCCCCAGATGGGGGGATCCCTTCTATCAGTCCCCCCTCCTCAGCATCCCCCCTCTCCTTTCAGCCCCCCCTCCCCAGCAGCACCCCCTTATCTAGGGGGTGTCTAAGTGGGGGGCCACCCCCGCACTGACCTGCTCTGGCTGGCTGGGGGTGCCTCCCCTGGTCAGTGCTGGCTCATGGAGGCGCAGAGGGTCTGTCCCCTGGAGCAGGGCTGAGTCAGGAACAGGGGGTCCCCCTCTGGCTGGGGGGGGTGTCCCCTCTGGCTCCTTCTGTTTACAACTCTCCTCTCGGGAACATGGGAGGTACAAGCTCTCGCGAGAGGAGGAGGAGCAACCCTTCCTCCCCTCCCCCCAGTAACCCGGACGCCTGGGTTCTTTTCCTGGCTCTGGGAGGGGAGTGGGGGCTGGTGGGTTCGAGCAGGGGGGCTAGGAGCCCGGACTCCTGGGTTCTCTCCCCGGCGCTGGGAGGGGAGTGGGGGCTGGGAGCCAGGACTCCTGGGTTCTCTCCCCGGCTCTGGGAGGGGAAGGGAGCCAGGACTCCTGGGTTCTCTCCCCGGCTCTGGGAGGGGAAGGGGGGCTGGTGGGTGAGAGCCAGGGGGGGCGGGGAGCCCGGACTCCTGGGTTCTCTCCCTGGCTCTGGGAGGGGAGCAGAGGGTGTGGGAGCCAGGACTCCTGGGTTCCATCTGGAGCTCTGCAACTAACTTGCTCTGTCCCCGCCCGGTGCCTCGGTTTCCCCCCAGCCCTGGGCCGGGCGAGGGCACGGCCGTGTCCCTCTGGGGCTGAGATGCTCCTGGGCCTGGTCAGGTCACCCCGGGGCCGGGCTGTGAGGGGCCTTGTAGGACAGGCCCTGCCCCGCGAGTGCAGCCGGGCCGGGGCTCCCCATGGAGCCCGATTGGAGTGCCTGGCACTCGGGGACGCCCCGGGCCCCTCTGGTTTAACCGGGGCTGCTCCCTCTCGGCACGTCCTAGGCCCCGGCCCAGGGAGTCAGGCGGTCCTTATCTCGGACCGGGGGGGTCTGGGCAGCACCCAGCACAATGGGGAGCCCCCAATCTCAGATATGGGGTCAGCATGTCACCTGGCACCACGGGGACCCCAGTCTCGGATGGGGGGGCGGGGGGGTCTGTGCAGTGCCTGGCACAGCAGCGGCACGTTTTCCATTCGGTGTATTTTTCTTGTGCGTGTGTGTCGTGGTCGGAGTTGCTGGGCACGGAGCGCACCGGGGCCGGGCCTCCTCTGTTCCCACCTGCATTTGCGGTCAGGGTCTCTCTTGAGCGGAGCCGATCTGTTTATTTGATGCGAGAGCAGCAGAGACTGGATACGCTCAGCCCAGGCCCGCTGTATCATCAAACCCCTGCCGATCTCTAAGCGGATCCGTTGCGCTGGGTACGGGCCGTACGAATGCCTGCAGGGATTTCAGGGCTGCTGCATGGTGATTTTACGTGTTGTCTTGCGGGTCATTTGATTTCATCCAGGCTGCCCAAGCCCTGGGGTTTGCAAGGCCACTTAGAGAAACACGCCAAGCTTATTGGGCAGAGCATGAAAAAAACAGATACCACGGTGTGACGGACTCACGGACGCCTGGGAAAAACTCGAGTGCCGTGGGGCTGCTGGTGTGCTGAGATCACGTCCTGTCTGGTATTGTCTCATTGTTTTCCCTGCCTGTCCGATGCCATCTGTTCTCTCTCGTCCGAGACATAGGCTGGGAGCTGTGACGGAGCGGGACTGTTCTTAATGTTTCCTCTGAATAGTGTGGGGGTGCCTCAGTTTCCCCTAGGCAGTTCTTAAGTATCTAGGGGGTGGGATAAGGGTGTATGATCCTTGCAGAGCCCTAGAGGGCAGGTGTGGGTAGGGGTCTGGACACAGAGAATGGCCGACACCCTGTTTCCTGGCCACGGATGGCCTGGCCCGTCCCTCCTGCAAGGTGAGAGCTAAAGGGTTGGAGAACAAAGGAATCCGGTGACCTCCTGGCCCGGGAAAGGAACAAAGCCCAGAGGAGGGGGGGGCTGGAGGGAGTTTCAGTTTGGGGCTGGCTGGAGACATGGACTGAAGGGCAGATGGGCTTGTCTGGCTCACTGCCCCCCAAAATGGACCCGGCTGAGGGGTCCTGTTCTCTGTACCTACAAGCTCTGTGTCAGACCACGTCCCCTGTCGTCTAATAAACCTTCTGTGTTACTGGCTGGCTGAGAGTCCTGTCTGACTGCAGAGTTGTGGGGCAGGACCCTCTGGCTTCCCCAGGACCCCGCCTGGGTGGACTCGCTGGGGGAAGCGCACGGAGGGGCAGAGGAGGCTGAATGCTCCGAGGTCAGACCCAGGAAGGGGGAAGCCGGGTGAGCTGTGTGTCCTGAAGACAGGCTGCTCACAGAAAGGCGACTGCCCCAGAATCCTGACTGGCTTCGTAGGGAGCCGTTCCAGAGCATCGCCCGGGGACTCCGTGATAACCGGTGGCAGCGGTGGGATGTACTGCACCCCGTGGATGGCGCTTCCTGCAGTAAGTGATGGGGGAGCAGTAAAATGAAGGGGGATTGACGAGTACAAGGCATGCAGAAGGCTCGGAGAGGAGCGGTTTCAGGGGGCGGTTAACCCCTGGGAGTGTGTGACCAGCGAGAAGGACTGTGCAGTAATGGGGTCCCCCTGGGGACTGCAGTGAGCAGTCTCAGGGGCGGAGGAGCCTGCGGCTCGGCCCTGGGAGAGAGAAGGACTTTTGCAGTAACAGGGTTCCCCTGGGGATTGCAGCGAGCAGTCCAAGGGGCGGAGGAGTCTGCAGCTCGACCCTGGCAAAGAGGTGGTGACCTCGAGAAGGGCTGGCACACTAGGGGTTCTCCCTGGAAACCGTGGGGAGCTGAGAGCACACAGGCCTGTGAGTCCACAACAACTTGGGAGGAGCGGAGTGACAGCCTGTCACCATCTCCTTAAGAAGGACATTGTAACCCTGTGCAGAAAGAGAGGGTTGAGCATTGGAAAGTTCACCAAAGCAGAGTTAATCGTGCAGCTGGAGGAGGATGACTGCTCTAAGGAACAGATTCCTGACCCTAAATGGGGCTATAGCAGGATCTGGGAGCAGCTGGAGCGGGAGCCAGGCATCGCCAAGACTCCTGTCCCCGACCAGACGAGGGTCTTCACGATCGGGTTCCCCATCGGGGGATCGAGACGGACGGGATTGGAGCTGAGTCCGAGAGAGCAAGAGGACTGTGAGAGACAGCGAGAGCCCGAGAAAGAGCTGCAGAAGCAGCAGCAGCATGAACTGGCAGTGGTGGGGCGGAGAGGCCTAGGGGACCGCCCCGGGGTGAGTGGGGATAGATCCCGGGGGGCCAGTTCCACAGGGAACCTTGAGACTAAATTGCTGCCCCTGGTTAAGGAGTGGGGGGATGTGGATGCCCACCTCACTGCCTTTGAGCAGGCTGGAGATTTGAACCAGGGGGACCCTGCGGAAAAGCCCCGGTGTCTAGCTCCCTTGCTGGGTCCCAAGGCCATAGACTCCATCAGCCCGATGGGTGGGGAGGTGGACAGGCTCCCACTCCTGGTCCCAGCCTATATGTCTGTGTGGAGTTTCCTGGGGCCAGGCCCCTCGGACCCCCAGTGGGAGCGGAAGGTGATGGTCAATGGGGAGACATTCCTGGGGTGGCGAGATCCTGGGACAGAGAGAACTGGTGTCAGGCCCCGGGTGGTGCAGCCTCAGATGCTGAGGGGCTGGGTGAGCTGGGTGAGGGTCCCAGGGACGAAGCCCCTCGCCCTGCCTATGGCCCAGATCCCTGTGCAGACCCAGGAGAGGTGGGGCTGGCTGGTCGTTGGGGTTCTCGAGGATATCAGCTGTGAGACCCTGTTGGGGAGTAACTGTGTCTCTTATGGGGGTGGGGGGGTGAGAAAACCTGGATTTGTGCTGGAAATGGCCCACCTTGATTATCATGCACATTGTAGGGAGAGTGGTCACTTTGGATAAGCTATTACCAGCAGGAGAGTGAGTTTGTGTGTGTGGTTTTTGGAGGGGGGTGAGGGAGTGAGAGAACCTGGATTTGTGCTGGAAATGGCCCACCTTGATTATCATACACATTGTGAAGAGAGTGGTCACTTTGGATGGGCTATTACCAGCAGGAGAGTGAGTTTGTGTGTGGGGGGGTGGAGGGTGAGAAAACCTGGATTTGTGCTGGAAATGGCCCAACTTGATGATCACTTTAGATAAGCTATTACCAGCAGGACAGTGGGGTGGGAGGAGGTATTGTTTCATGGTCTCTCTGTGTATATAATGTCTTCTGCAGTTTCCACGGTATGCATCCGATGAAGTGAGCTGTAGCTCACGAAAGCTCATGCTCAAATAAATTGGTTAGTCTCTAAGGTGCCACAAGTCCTCCTTTTCTTTTTGTGTCTCTTTGGGACAGGATCCAGGCCCTGCTCCTGTAACGGCCAAGGGTTTGAATTTGAATCCAGGGAACCAATCGGCGGAGAGGGAAATGGTCAGTGAAAATGCAGATGACCTGGCTGGCAGCAGGGAGGAGCTGCTAGGCTCAGGCTACCTGCCTGCCTGTAACCAGACCCCTGGGGCTCCCCGCCCCCCTTGCACACCGGAGAAGGGGCTCACGCTGGCTCTGATGCTGTGAGGAAAGCAGCGAGCTCGCTGCCTGCCCCCACTGGGACAGCAAGGGCAGCGCTGAGCACAGTGAGAGCTGAGACCCCAGCTGAGTGGGGGAGACACAGGCAGGGCAGGGGATCTGTGGGGAGTGCCAAGGTGCTTGGTAAGGAAAGTCTGGATGAGCCTAGGCAGCCTTGTGAGCTGATGGCTGTGTCTAGTCAGCAGGATAGACCAGGATAGTCAGCAGGGTGGGAAGGCGAGGAGAGTGGAAGATGAGTGTCCCTGGACCTTACCTGTTACCTGGGGGGAGAACTGTGACAGTGAAGCAAACGTGCCTGTGTCTGTCAGGGGTATTGACCTGCCTATGGAGGGAACTACCCTGATCTCCAAGCAGTTGTCTGCCAACAGCCTTGTGTGCTGGGACAAGGGGAATGAGATCCCAAGCTGTGTGTCTGGGAAAGGAGAAAGTGTGTCCGGCTCTTCTTTGTCTGTGGAGCAGACAGAAGGGGCCTTTCAGTCTATGATGGTTGAAGGTCGTGCAGTTGTCTCAGAGCTGGTTCTGGATTCAGCTAAAGCCCGGGAAGGGAAGGGTCCTAAGTTTGTGTCTGCTCGGGAGAATGGCCCTGTTACTAGATTGCATCCAGTTAGTAAAATCTATGCAAAATCCCAGAGCCCAGACAATTCTGGTGCTTGTATTTTGCCTGTTGCTAGTGTGTTGTTGGGAAAGGGTGGAGGAACTCTGTCTAATCG